GCGATGGGCAGTAGAACGTTCCAGGCCATAGCGCCGCTATAGCCATAGCGCCGCTATGGCCAGAAAAGAAGCGGCGCTATGCAGCTTAGCGATGGGCTGTGGGTCAAGCTACTCCAACCATAGCGGCGCTATCCCCATAGCGCCGCTATCCTCCCGTTTTGTAACAGCTGCTATTTTCTCGGGATTTCGAATTGGGGGGTTAAGAGATCGAATTTTGGTCACTTTTGAACATTCTCAGATCTGGTTTTTGATAGTTTATCATCCCAAAAACATATTTTTAGCTTACTTTGATCTTGGATTGGATTTTGGAGCATAAAAACTCTTTTTCTAACTTTGGATTTTGGATTGCTCGTTGTTGTTCGCGACATTGGTTTTTCTTATCAATCGTAAGCATCTTTTCTCATTTAATTATGATGTTTTGTGCTTGGGTTGCTATGAGTTCTTGTGTTAAAATTGCAATGAGCAGCTAAATCCATTAGCTAGGGTTAGGGGATAATCGTCCCGGTTCGATTTCGTTTATGTGTTGATTAATTGTTCTTTCTTTTCGAGTTGTGCTTAACCTAGGGTTTAGATGTTTGATCACCATCTCAATCTAATTAATCGATTTTGAAACCGAAAGGGGAGAAATCGTTCGACCTAGGCTCGTTAAGAATAGACTTGTTCGGTGACGTATTGTCTATATGCTAATTGATTCGTGATTGATTTGTTTACGTTTATTCTCTTGTTTCGTGAGATATTGAGATTGAACCTCTAGATGAGTTAATTCTTGAGTCTTTTGGTTGAGTAGTTGATTGATCGTAAATTGTTTTGAGAACCGGAAGCGATATCCCCGATACCCTAGCCCATTTATCATTATTTGAGTTGAAACTTTAAATTGCAAGTTTGAGATTGTTAGCTTGTTCTTATTATTCGTAGTAGATAATCAAAAACCCCAAATTTGAATTAGAATGTTTAGGACTTGTTTCTTATTTTCGTGTGTTGAATAACCGTGCAAAATAATCCGGCTAACCTTCCTTGTGACACGACCCGGTGTCGAATCTTTTGGTTCTACTCCGGTTAAAAATATTTACAACATATATGATATAAGTTATAACAACTAATATAATATAACACATGTATGTCATAAGTAACACATATCATTCTAAAATATATGGTAATATAATTTTTTTATAACTAAATTTAATTTAGTTTTCTCATTAATTTTAAAATTTAAGAATAATTTTTTAACAAGCACCCGTGTAATACACGGGTGTTGTACTAGTATATATTAAAAGCGAACCTATTTACCAAAAATGGTAGCAAGAAAAGTCAACACACATTTAATGCATACTTTATTTGGAAATTTTTTACTATATGCATTAAATGCTTGTATATTTACATTTACTATCTAAATATGATTTTCAAGATTTTTTCCTTAAATAATTTATGCAATGATTTTATTGATATCCATTATAATTAATATTTGTCGTGTAATATTTTTTAACCTTTATTTAATTATATAACACTAATATTTTTTTAAAAAATTAATATTATTTATTATTTAAAAGATAATGATCACATTATTAAATGATTTTATTGATGGTTAGATAATAAAATTATAGTTATTCTTTAAAATTTCGACATGTTATTTATTTGTATATTATTGTCAACTATGATAGTGTTTTTATCACTTTTTTTTTTTTTGGTTATGTTTCAAAAATGAAGTTATTGTAAAATATTTTTCTATTGCATAGTATGTTAAATAAACTATAAAGCCTAGGATAAAAATTAGAAAAAATCTCTTGATTATGTAAGAGATTTATTTTTTGGCAATTGCTAAATTAATTTTTTTTTTAAAAAAAAAGAATTATTATGAGAAAATTGAATTCTAAAAAACATGTGTGTGTATTTTGTAAACATTTATACTCAAAATTTTATTTTGAATTTCATTAGATAAAGAAGACTACTTCTATAACTTTTATAAATAATAACAATTACATTATATGACTGTTAATTTTATAATAAAATAATAATTGAGTATTATATGGTGAACAATAATTAATAAAATTTTTATTTTTTCCTATATCAATGAATAAGTATGTATTCTAAAATCAAATAAATATTAGTATGA